GTGGTGATGACTAGCTGCCTTCCCTCTAGTCTTACACTGCTAAATTAGGGACGGCTAGCGCAGATAGCCCTCGTGTAGCTTTGCGCGAAATTCCAAAAAACAAACAAACAAACAATCTTCTTCTTCCAAACATTTTTCAATTAACCATCATTCCTTCACTTCTCGGGGAATGACTTGTAACTTGGAAAAAAAAGTACCATGGTCCAATACTCCCAGATACCTTTCTTTTTTATTATTAAACCCTTTTTAAGGATTTTATGGGGTCAAAGGTAAAACAACCCGAAAATGTATATTTTGGGCTCCTGTACGGTTATATTTACAGCAATTAAGATGAAGATTGGCATAAGTATAAATTTTCATGCGCTCACCACATTGACTTAAAAAAAGTTGGATTGACCTATTTTGGGTCTTTTTAGGAGGGTCAGAGCTCACAAAAAAGCATAATTTTGGGAGTTTTGGTTAACTACTCGATCGTATTTTGACTACTTTACTTGGAACTTAGTACAAAAATGCTTTTCTACAGGCCCCACACATTGATAGACTAAAGTGGTGGACTTACATACTTTTAGTAATTATAGGGGGAGGTCAAGTTGCCACAAAAAGCATAATTTTAAGGTTTTTTGACAATTACTTCACCTTATTTCGGCCACTTTACATGGGATTTGGCACAAAGTTAATACATTTTTACAGGTCCCATAACATATATATATATACAAAAATGCAAAATATTCCCATTTTTGGTCATTTTAGGGAGGTTAAAAGGTTAAGAAATCCATAATTCTATGGGTTTTGGTTAATTACTTAGGCTTGTTTCGACCAATTTACATGAAATTTGGTACAAAAACACTCTTTACATTTCCCAGATAAAGATATAGACAATTTTGAAATTTATGTCTGTTGCTCAATTTTTCAAAAAGGAAATTACAGTTTGAGCTTTTTGTCAACTATTCATGTGTATGCCAACCAACTTACCTGGGACTTGCAGATCTTAAGCAGTGATATAGATAACTTTTCTGGTGTTACAATTGGCCTTGTTGGGATTGCGTGGCCGAAACATGTTGCATTCGCTCGCGAATATTGGCCTGCTTAATCTTTTAGAATATTTGTTAGATTTTATTGTAACCTCTACCAATTTTTCTGTAAACGAAAAATGGCAAATTATCCCATTCTATGCATTTAAAAACACTAACATTATTTTATCTTTTGAGATGGTAATAATGACATATATTTCTAAGGTAGACATAAAGGCAAAAGTATTTTATTTGTTAAAAGTGAGGGTTTAAAATTTCCATGTCTGGAAAATAAACCTCACCCAAATCGAAAAGTTTGTTTGTTGTTAAGTGTGAAGCTGTAAAATGGTTTATCTGTGTTGTGTATATCGCAGGGATCAGACCCTGAATTGTAATGTTAAAACCCTCACGTTTGCCGTTTATACACCAGCTGGAGTAAATTAAAAACTCAAAATTTTTTACAAAAAAAGTATTGATTTGGAGTAATATCAATTTTTGCCTCTATTATAGTGCTGGAATTGGAAGAACTGGTGTTCTTATCTTAATGGAGACTGCAATGTGCCTTATTGAAGCCAATGAACCAGTTTATCCTATACAAATCGTCCTGGAGATGCGAAGACAGAGAGCCATGCTGATCCAAACAACTGCAAGTTTTAAAAAAATATTATTTTTTACACGAGAATGGAGATAAGAAAGTTTCATAAGTACAGTAACTAGTTGAACTGTTTCTATTGAAGGGATAAACCATTTCCAAATTCCTTTAGAGTTGTCTGTTCTAGCTAATACATTTAAGTAAGGTGTTACAATTTAAAATAAGTTGTACATTATAGTAGGTAAAATATTGGTGTCACACTTAGAAATAGGCTGTCAAATATAACAGGTGAAACATTGGTGTCACACTAAGAAACAGACTGTGGAATATAACAGGTGAAACATTGGTATCACACTAAGAAACAGGCTATGGAATATAACAGGTGGAACATTGTTGTCGCACTTAAGATCAGCCTGGTTATTATTGAATATGAATAAATTTGCTGTTAATTTACTTTTTTATATCTAGAGCACTTGTATAGCATAGAGGAACTTGATATGCTACTCTAACGTATAAAATTTTATTCTCGAGATGCAAGTTTTTCTGCAAAGTGTGTCGTCCTATTTATACCTTTTAATATAATCTAGTAGATAACAAAACTAAAACTTAAACCTGTAAAATGCACTGCTCAAGATAACATGCAACGTGTTTATCAGCTTTTGTGCTTCCTCTTCCAACTATTTAAAACGTTTATTTATTTTTCATATTTTCTTACACGAGAAGTAAAGTTGTCAGTCTTATACTCTATATTTTGTAACGTAAATATAGTTACAAATTACTTCCAGCTTTTATAGGTTATTATATCCTTAGCTCTTAAAACCATAATCTTGGCCAATCTCCGCTTCATTAGCGTCTTATTGTACTTATATCTCCAAGATTAATTGGCAGCTACTGACATTTCTGGTTTTGTTTTCTTAGTATCAATTTGATTGATTAATTGCTCACCAAAGATATTGGGCATCCACTGTTGCTAAGTGCATATACATACCTTTGATTTGATATCACGCCAGTATATTGTACAGTATTATTACACTTCACAAAATAAAACTGATAGTTTTTAAAACCTAAGTTGAATAAACAAGATTTGTAAGGTGTTAATAGACGCCCCCCCCCCCCAGTGCCACAGTGGTATGTCTGCGGACTTATACAGCTAGAAATCGGGTTTCGATACACATGGCGGGCAGAACACAGATAGCCCTTTATGTAGTTTTGTGCTTAATAACAAACAACAACAATAATAATAGATGGAGCAGCAATACTAATAACAATGTTAATAACAACATTCTCTAATAATCATATTTCAAGTTTGGATTTTCAGTAAGAAAAGAATCTGATATTGTTGAATGTTGCTGTTGACGAGGCTTTTTGTTCAATAACGAACTCATCAGTACAGCTTGGACACAAGATACAAATGTTTGGTTGAAATTCTGTCATACAAGCTGTTTATTAAACATCAACTATTATGGTATTTTCCGCTTAAGTATTATTCGGTAGTTGGTAATAGTTGTGGAACATAAAGTCTAGTGAAAATGTTACAATAAACATTTCTTACTGGAACTGGTATTAGGTTATTGAAGTGGAATGGGCTTAAAATTATTACCAGCGTTACTTTGACATAATATATTATAAACTAAGTAAGAACTGGCGTTTAAAACCAGCATGAGTAATTACATCTGTTTTGTTTTTAAAAACTACTATAATTACCAGGTTATATAATAAATTATAGATGAAACGTCGCTGATTGATTCCGTATGAAACAATGGTAAAAATTTTAAACTTATATTTAAATATACGAATATGTTTGTTGTTTTTTCATAAAAGTAGTCAGATATAAACCTGTGAGGCGAAGGTTGAAAACTCACTTTCAAATAATTAAATGTATAGTTTCAAAGAATGTTAATTATGCCTACCAAAGAATATAACTAAAAATATTGTCACCTTTTGTTTTATACAAGTTCGTTGAGTTAACCTTTTAATGTTATTTTTATATTTTTAGATTGATTCAATAATACTGATAATGGTTAATATATTTAAGGTCAACCTTGACAGCACTAACAGAATTGTATTACTGATTGCGAAGTAAGGCTTAAGCTTTGAAAAAATAGATCCCAACATGTTATTTAAACCAGTAAAAATAAAATTACTAGCAGCTGTGATGAACAAATGATCATTATACATCAGATTAAGGTGGGATCACCAATATCTGTATAAATGAAATGCTCATAGCGAACTTTTTAAACCCAAATACATTATTATGATACTAAAGTTTCTCTTCTTGTTACAGAGTCAATTCAAGTTTGTATGTGAAGCTATTGTAAGAGTTTTTAACGGTAAGTAGGTTAAACACTTTAAATTATTAATTAATGTTTATATTAAAATTATATATTTTGTATCGAAACTAATTAAGTTGTCACTCATATACAAATTGTTGCTGAAATAACTATGTCATTTACCATTTAGAATTACCAAACATACCTCCCTCTGTGGCTTAACAAAAGGTGTAAGGACTAAAAACACTTAAATTGGGAGTTCGATCCCCGCAGTTGGAAAAGCGAATATGGTCCCTTGTGCAGCTTTATATTTAAAAGTAAACAACCATCAAAAATAAATGTCTTTGGTGGATCAGCGATAAGCATGAGGGCTTAAAATGGTAAAATTCTGGTTCGATTTCTGCGGCTGGCACAAATTAGACAACCCACTGTACAGCTTCACGTTTCATCATCAACGTTCAACATCAGCAACTGATTACAAAAACAGTTCAATATTCTATCAATAATATTTTTTGAACTAAATGTGCATAAAATGTATGAGAACGAATCATTGACTAGAATATTATTTTGTGTTACCACAACAAATATATTATAAAATAAGTATAACAAATAGCTCTTAGAAAGAGGGAGTCTACAGACAATAAGTTGTTATCAGTCATTCTTTTGTTAACGGTGAGCTATCTGTACTGTGTCCACCTCAGGGAATCGAACATCAGATTTTTGTGTTGAAAGTCCGTGAACGTACCGTTGACCCACAGGGGGAAGTATTATCTATTAATCGTCAAAACTAATTCTTTGAAGTGTAATACTTTTGATAAGCCAGTATTAATTTTTCATAGATATTACGTTTTGTAAAATCAGCGTTTCACAAAGTGTGGGGCGCCCCGGGGGGGGGGGGGGCGAGCGATCAGGGTAGAGTCAATAGTGCAATAATGTTAAGTGTTTTAACATATTGTTCATTAATGAAAATAATAAGTAGTTACTATAACACATACAGCAATTTAATGCGTATCCTGTATTAGATTTCGCCGCTTAACTCAGTCTTTCACTCATTTAAAAAAAGTGTGGGTTTCAGTAAAAAAAAACGTATTAAGTTAAGGGGGCGTGGATGACGAAAGTTTAAATAGTTTTATATAATGAAAGTTCATGATTATAAATACACCTTAAGAACATGATATCTATCGCATCATTGGTTATTATTGTTATTGTTTTGGTTTTCAGATGGTACAGTAAAACCACTGGAAAAATTCAATGCATTAGGAAAAGTGCTGGCATCAAGAGAAGACGATATATAAAAAATACCAACTGAAAACAACTAGGTTGAATAAATAGAGCGCCGAGTGGCCGACGATTAAAACGGCATTTAATCGACTGCACATCATAACAACAGCTGCAGTTTATGTTCGTTGTTTGATCACTTCGATGATGGTTTTACAAACTTACTTGCTAGATATACCGTTGAACTCTTGATTTTGTATTTCACAAGCTTTAAAGGTGGATAATTTAAATAGTTTGAGTCATTCGTCTTACCCTTCAAGGATTCAACAAAAACCATCAGTTGAAGATGCTAATGGAAAACTACGATATATTTCTTTACAGGCGAATATAATTTGTTGAGGACTATCATCAATAGTTAAATATTCTAGAACTTGGAAACGCTGATCTAGCGTACTTATACAGGTTGAACTGTTTGCTGAACGTATTTTAGTAAGAAACTAAAACCCCAAGTTTTCTGTTCTTAAAGATTATAGTGAATTTTTCTTCAGTAAAATATTTCCAACGAGGAGTTTTGCTGAAACCTTTCGTATTTTTATAGGTCTTTAATTAAATGCTGCATCAATGCTTACTAGCGTTACTAATTAGAAACTTTAAGGACTGAATTATTCTAATGATTGCAACATTGTATGAGTCGTCAATTTTTACAATCGAGACAAAATATAATACTAATTACAATACTATTATCAAAGAATAATACTAATTACAATACTATTATCAAAGAATAATACTAATTACAATACTATTATCAAAGAATAATACTAATTACAATACTATTATCAAATAATAATACTAATTACAATACTATTATCAAAGAATAATACTAATTACAATACTATTATCAAACTATAATACTAATTACAGTATTATTATCAAAATATAATACTAATTACAATACTATTATCAAAATATAATACTAATTACAGTACTATTATCAAAATATGATACTAATTACAATACTATTATCAAAATATAATACTAATTACAATACTGTTATAGGTCAATCACAGGGGGATCATTTCTTATTTCAAGGGTGGAGTATAATTGTGAGAATTGTACAATAACGTAATTCATAAGATCGGTCAATCACAGGGGGATCATTTCTTATTTCAAGGGTGGAGTATATTTGCGAGAATTGTATAATAACGTAATTCATAAGATCGGTCCACTGATTTATTATCTTTCAAATTACCTAGAAACATGAATGCCACATCATGAATACAGCTCTCCTGGTAAGTGTAAATCAAACGGGGTGTTAGTATGATTTCAATTATGACGTTTAATGATGTCACTCAGAGACAAATGTTGCATTTGCTTTAGGACATCACGTATAACATTTTCCTTGGGTATATGCAACTTCTTAGAACACTATTTATGGCATTATCTACATGGGTGCACATACTAATACCATTATATTTTGATATTAAAATATTACAGATTGAAAGTGGATATGTTCATAATTAAGTTATCTCTTTCAGCGTCTAAAGGAAAAAGAACGATAAAAAATAGTTTGACAGTTTTGAAAGTTCCAAACAAATTTGTTGTGAATGAAAACTTCGTTTAATATTACTTTATTTTCCATACACAAATGTATTTCTCTGTTATACCTGAAGTAAGCAAGTTACCAATATGCTTTTTCCCCCTAGCTTCAGCATTGTGCAATCACAGGGGGATCATTTCTTATTTCAAGGGTGGAGTATATTTGTGAGAATTGTATAATAATGTAATTCATAAGATCGGTCAATCACAGGGGGATCATTTCTTATTTCAAGGGCGGAGTATATTTGTGAGAATTGTATAATAATGTAATTCATAAGATACCAGTGTTGGTAACAATACGAAGAATTAAATTGTGGCGGAATGCTACAAGTTCTTCAGATACCTATAGAATGATAGGTTTCTTTTTTGTTAGTGTAAAACCCTTAAATGCACCATTTTTAATTAATCCTAATGTATATAGATAAAAGTGTGAAAAATTATCTTCGTTATTTTTGGTAATCTGTTTACAAACTGAAGTATGTATAAAGAAAAGTTGGTTTAATATACCACCAACCACAGTAAGTTGCATTTTTAGGTTATGTTTCCATTAGATATTAAAATCAACATAACTATTGGGTAATTAATCCTAATATATACACATAAAAAATGTGTTTCTTTGTTTTTCGATAAGCCAAAGCTTTATAATGAGTTATCTGTGCTATGCCCACCGCGGCATTGAAACCCAACTTTTAGTATTATTTAGACTTACTGCTGAACCCATATAACAGTAATTGTTTTTTGTTATGGTTCACCTGTTTAGACCCTAAGTTATTTATATAGAAAAGTTACCCCTAAGAAAAACCTCACTAGAAATGTATCAATTCAATATATATGTATCAAATATTCAATTAGTGATAAAAGTAACTACAATAGACCATTCCAATCTTTTACTTGTTGTCAAACAAATGTTTGAACAGCTTTATTCAATTAGGGTTAATTATTCAACAATTATGTTGATTTTAACATCTTATGGAAACAGAACCTAAAAAGAGCATCTTCTTGCCTTTGGTGAAATTCTTTCAGACAAGTTCCTAAGCAAAAAGCGTTACACATAAAAGACAAAACAGATGAAACTAGGGTATAGATTACATTATGGTAAGGGGAAAATATATTTTACTAAGAGAGATATTTGCAGAAGTGGGAATCACTCAGCGCCAGGGCTACATCGTGAAATATTTGCAAGCCTCACATGCAGAATAAATATAAAAATTGAGAGCGGATATGGGCACTACAGCCCGTAACGTTCAACAATAAAACTACCATTCACGGACTGTAGCCAACTGAGTTGCTCTTAATGAAACAGGAGTGTGTAAGTAAATTTAGTACAGGCTACTAAGATTTGACCATTGGGTGTAATAAGTGGGACATATCTCCTGAAGTTGAGATTCCAGTACTCATACCTGTATAAACAGTATAACAAAGCCTAGGACTTCTAAGTTAAGGAGTATTTCTAAAGAACAAAAAACAATTAAATGTTAAATTTGAATAGACGGTGTACTTATATCACTGTACGTGTTCTACTTCAGAATATACTTCTCTTAACAAGATACATTTGCCACTTCTCACAATACCCTAGTTGTAGTTGTGTATTAATTATGTGTGAGACTTTTTCGTTTATAGCATTATTGTCTGAATAATTGTATTAAACTTTCGAAACTATTCTTGTAAATTATGCTTATCTAAGGATTTTAGTGGTAATAAAGTTTGTTTTGTTTTTTGCTTTATACACGTTGTTTCAAACGTACAGAACTTGTCGAAAATCGAAGTTAAAAGTATTAACAATCAAGTTTTAAAGAAAAGTTAAAAAATAGTTTTGGTTTGGCCTACAAGTTATATTTAAACTATTCCAGCAATAGACATAATAAGCTCAATTTATAACGCAAGCTAAATACTTAATATTAGTAGCTCCTTCTCTAGCTTTAGCTATATAATAAGATCGTTCAGAGACGAATGTTTCTAGTTTTTTGAGACGACCATGAACCAAACTTCTCCGCATCTTTAATGAACATTCTCTCAAAGTTGTTGGAGCTGAATTTTATTCTCGTTTGCAACATCACCTTTCAATTGATGTCACACATTTTCAGCTAGACAGGCATTAGGACTTTGTCCATTTCAAAACATTTTATATCACCGGTTATTTCCTTCGCCTCCTAGTATCTTTTATTTAACTTTGCTGGGTGTTAGTAACGAAATTTGATGTTCTAATTCTGGTTCTTTTTTTTTATTATTATCATCCATTTAAATATATCTCCTATGCTTCCTGCAGCAGAAAATCATCGCCATACTATTATAGACCGACTACTATACTCCACAGTTTCACTTACACCAAATATATCCTAGAGTTTTCAAAAGCTCAATTTTTGTTTTATCAACCTAGATACATTGTTCCTTTCGTTTCACTTTTTGTGATGCGTTTACTGTAAAGTTTAAACGCCAACGGTAAGCACATAAAATATTAAACGTTTTTGCTGAAACTTTTCCATGCAGACATACATTCGTCTTCAAACAGTTTTGTTGCAGATTGTCATTTCACGCATATCTTGTATTTAGGCATTTATTTCCGTGAACCTTTTGAATTCAGTTTTATGTTGAAATTTTACGAATTTGATCTCCTATCTGCAGCAAAATACTAAGTTTTAACATAAGTGTATCATTATTAAAACACATATTACAGGATGAAGTGATAGTTTTAGCACAAGCGTATCATTATGAAAACACATATTACTGGATGAAGTGATAGTTTTAGCACAAGTGTCTCATTATGAAAACACATATTACTGGATGAAGTGATAGTTTTTAGCATAAGTGTATCATTATGAAAACACATACCACTGGATGCAGTGATAGTTTTAGCATAAGTGTATCATTTTGAAAACATATCACTGGATGAAGTGATAGTTTTAGCATAAGGATATCATTATGAAACATATCACTGGATGAAGTGATAGTTTTAGCGCAAGTGTATCATTATAAAAACACATATCACTGGATGCAGTGATGTAACTTCCTATTCAATGGTACCAAATTATGAATATAGAATTATGTAGTACTAATTTTGACGAAATTAATAATGGTTTTAAATATAATTACCGACCAATATGTGGATATTACACAACAACAACAAACACTTCTGTAAATGTATTCTCAACAGTGGTCCATGTTCTTACAGAGTTCCATAGCAAATGCAGTCTTTTTTGGCTTATTACACTCAAACTTATGACGATGTGCTATGTCTGTATATCTATATATTGCCAGTATATTTGACAATGTATTTTTTATATTCTTATTCTGAATATGAATGAAGATTGGTTGATTCTAACGTTATACTGAAAGACATAATAGTTTATTTTGATAGTACAAGTACATTAAGGGGTAGTTGCCATGACAACAACTGGTAGCCGATGGAGAATGTGTATTTGTTCTTGGAACATCTGGGTTTGCGCACCTGGATCTCTTCGTTTTAGTGTTTGGTTATAGCTTATTTACATACTGGTGTCTAAGTTTGGTGAATAACAAGAGATACAAGTGTTCCCAGTACTATTTGGATGCTAGTAACACACTCATACCTCTTCAAAATGTGTATCTTTTGTAATTTCTATTTCTTATACTGTTTTAACTGTTATTAGTTAAAGTGTGATTTTGATATACGAATTCTAATTCGTAATTAATGTAATGACTGACCCAATGATTAACAGGACCCAGTTTATTATCAAGTCGGTCTACTTTTGGCTGCGATCATAACCTAGATTCGTCATAAAATTAGATCTTACAATACGCCTGTATCGTTTTGTGTGATTGTTGTCAACTCTTCGAGAAAGTTTGCAATTGATTCACAATGGTGAATGTGACTAGAATTATTATCTTGTTTTTCAAACTAACGTTAATCAATACAAGTATGGTATTTGCTGCATTGATAATAAAGGTGAAAATTCAGCATTATAGAATGGACATGATTGAAATAACGTTTAGGTATACTCTGCATATGGTTTGCTTTTCTAATGAAATCAAAAACACTAACCTCTGCCACGAGAACGTTTCGCACATTATTACAACATCTCCAAAAGCTGGTAGCAATACAAGTAAAATCAAGTTTTGATGTGATTTTCGACCATCGGTACAGAGAAGGATGAAACTTGACTCATGAGGCCACATCAACGCTTCCAATCATTAT